TCTCTCTCTCTCTCTCTCTCTCTCTCTCTCTCTCTCTCTCTCTCTCTCTCTGTTTCTTTCTGACTTTCCCTGGCTCTCTGGGTGTGTCAATGTGTGCCTCTCATTTTCTCTCTGTCTCTCTCTGTCTCTCTTTATCTCTGTGTCTCTCTCCCACTCTCTGTCTCTCTCACTCTCTGTCTTTCTTTCAATATCTCTGTCTCTCCCTCACTCTCTGTCTCTCTCTCTCTCACACTTTCTGTCTCTCTCTGTGTGTCTGTGTATGTCTCTCTCCCACTCTCTCTGTCTCTCTCTCACTCTGTTGCTCTCTCTCTCATTCTCTCTTTGTCTCTCTCTTTCTCTCCTGGGTGTGTCTGTGCATGTGTGTCTCTATCTCTCAAATTCATATCTTCCCTGAGGACTAACTACCATGGTACCAGTAAGCTACATACAAGCATCCAAGGGAGGGAATCAAACAGATTTCCCACCCAGTTATGATGACTATAAACCATATCAATGACCAGCATGGCAAGATAGCCCTGTGAATGCAGTACTGGCATATATGACGTGGCAGTAACCATTAGTTGGCCCTTAGACCCACTCATCAAGAGGGAAATCATGTCTGGTACTGGAGATCTAACCAATTACCCAGGGTTAGGGAAGTCATGGGACTTGGTGGTGAACCTACAACTTCCACTTAACTAAACCAGCATAATTCCTAACTACATTCTAAATATTTATCCTTATACCCACAGTCATTCTCACCGCTCAGCAAAGAAGCTTCTCTTTGCTACAGATGGAGAATATTACAGAAAGCCGAAACTGATAAAAATGCAGAGAACAGAAATCATGTGGTTTCCAGTCACAAGTGATGCATTTACAACACAATTAAATTTGTTTTTCTTTGATATGTAAAAATTAAACCTATTGATAGGTCACATGTCTGCATTGTGTTAGGCTTGGATAAGCACATCTAGTTCCCCCAAATATTTATCACTTCTTTATGGTAAAACATTCAAAATTCTTCCTTTTGGCTTTGAGAGAAGTACAGTGCACAGTAATTCCCTACAGCCATACGACTGTGGATAGCCCAAAACAGCTCACTCCGTCCAACTTACTGAAACAAGGGTTCATAATGTATTTACTTTTCTCAAGTAAATAAAGGTGTTAGGTGGTGAGATTGCGAGTTGTTGGGGTTATTTTCCTAGAGTGTCTTATAAACTGACACTAATTCTGTAATTAAATTTCCAGGTAATTTGAGACAGGAACATAACAACAAAACCAGATCCTTTGCTGCTCGCCCCTACAGGCAGCCCTTCCTCCATAACCACTTTGCTCTGTTGTGTTTCTTGTGGGAAATTACTTTTTCTTCATAGCTTATTATTCATTCTCCTCTGACATCTCTAAAGAAATTTTCTGGAAATATTTCTATCTTGGAGTTGTATAAGATAATTTTTAAGATCTGCTTCAAAACAGGGTTGAGCACTATTTAATAAAGTTAAATGTTTTGAGGGAGAACTCGAGCAGGATTGCTTGAACTTTATTTGCTTTGGGCAGGTTTTCTTGATCTCATAAAACATGAAAATTTTTTTAAAATTTTTAGCCTTTTATTAAGTTCCTCTGAGGCTTATGTGTATATCAAAAGTTGCACAAAAATTTCAAAGTTATTCCTCCAAAGAACACTGAACATGCTTGTTAAGTTCTCCCATTTAAAATATAAAAGTCTATGTAAGTACTTTTACCAAATTTTATATTTTTCGTATTTGGAGGACCACATCTACTTTACTCACTTTTGGTAAACTATAACGGACAAAAATAATGCATGTTCAAGCTTCACAATGTGATGTGTATATATACATTTTATATGTGTGTATACATGTATGTTACATATGTGTATTTACATATATATACATATATAATGATATTTTAAACAAGTTCATTAACATGTATGTCCTCACAGTTACTTGGGATAAAATACTCCAAACCCACCATAACTCAAGAATGCATTTGCTGCTATTATGGCTCCCCTGCTGTACTTTAAGTCTTCTAAGCTTCTTTATCTTTGTATCCCTTGACCATGCAAATATTTGTATAATGCACCCTTTGCTTGAGCCGAGAGGTGGAGGGAAGTAGCACAAAGAGTGGTTGATGCCTGGAGCTAAGGGGTATCCACACTAGCTGCCCACGGTGTATGGTAACCTTTCACGATTATGAGAAATAAGTGGAGTGACTTTTATACCCTGTGGAAGTGGGCTGTCACCAGAGGCACACCCCTAGATCTCTGAAAGAAGAAATCTAAAAATACCATGTCCAACTAATATTTATAGTCTAACTCTTTTTTAGGCTGTGACCCATTCTCTGTACTCTAAACCATTTTGGAAACTGTTGGAACAGTGCATGAATAGGAGACCTGATGAAGCACTCCTCTCAAATGGTCAGAGCCAGCACCATGAAAACATGAAAGGTTTCTGAAATCGTGAAAATAATGAATGATCACAGCACCCTTTGCCTCTGTAAGATCCAGCTGCTAACTGCAGACACATTCTACATTGTCGCATAAAGCTTAACTTACCTCACTTTTTAATCAGGAAATCCAGGCATACATGTCTACATGGTGGGGCAGTCTGTGGGGTAGGCTCTTTTCATCCCTCCTGCTTATCGGTATTTTCTAATTATTCTAAGGTGAATACACGGAAGCATTGTGCTTGTTTTAGCATGGTGCTGCTGTGACAAGTCCCTGAGAGAGAGACAAGTTCAGGGAGGGAAGATTGAAAGGCCTCCTTTGACTCACACTTTCAGAGGTTTCCGTCATTAGCTGTCCTGGGACCCTGTGCTGAGACAGGGCCTGATGGTGGAAACAAAAGGGCAGAAGGAACTTATTCACATTGCAACCAGGAAGCAGGGTCCTGATAGCCCATTCAAGAACATGTCCATTGTGACCTGACTCCCTCCACTAGGCCCTGACCTTCTGATGGTTCCACTATCTCCTGATAGCAACACAGTTGGTGACCCAGACGTCAGCACATGGGCCTTTGGGTATCATTAAGATCAAACCATAACAGCATGATACTTTTGACTCTGAAGAAAATAGAACACTATGAGATCCACATGCAATATCAGAACACTGGTCTCTTCTACTGAGCAATTGTTCTTTGCTGGATGAAACAAAACTGACATCCAGGGTTCTACACAACAGTAAAAAAAATTCAGATCAGTCAGCTATTCATGTAAACCCTGATTAAGAGACTCATCCATTATGCTGAATTTAAGGACATTTTAATCTGTGAAGCTAGAAAAACAATGCGAATAAAAATACCCGATCTGCATTGCTTTCATCATTCATGTCTGTTTGGACTCATTAAAAATAGATTTTTTTTCCTGTTGTTTTGTGCTCAGGAAAATTAAGAGTCTTATTCTCTTCGTACTGTCAAGAAGTAACGTGGACATGAAGTCTGCCAATCTTGAAAAATGGTGCAATAAGTCCCAGAAACAGTAGACGAGAATTTATTTTCTCATTTTCCCAACCTTATTGTCATTGTTCACGTTACAATGTTCTTTGGAGAGTACACAGAATAAAAGCCCACACTCATTCCCAGTAACTTACAGGAGAGTGGGGAATCTCAATAAGCTTTTGCAAAGGGCACAGTGGAAGAGAAGTACATTTGAGTGAATTTCTGTGGGAAAAAAATTGCAGTCTGTGAGAACTTCTGTTTGACAGTTTATGACTTGAAAATTATAAGGTATCTATGTTATTTCTTAAGGCATTCATTTTCTTCAAATTAGACACTGGTTCGAAAACTCCTTTTAAATGTCATTGCTTGGAGGTATGCATTTTCTAGGTGGGAAAAAGGCACACTAAAGCTCAGCCTAGCATTGTCCCTGAGCCTGATGCTGTCCATTAGCCTTGTGCTCCAGAGTTTAATGAAAAGGACTTTAGAAACTTCTCAGAGCACCATGGTGAGAGAGGAGGTGGAAGGGTAGGTGGAGGCTAAGGAAGAATAAATAGGACATGCTGTTTCTGGATATTATTTTTGCAGCTTTACCAAAAGAAATTATTTTAGTTTATTTTTAGCTTTCAAATCACCATTTGGAAAATGCACTGTTGTTGAATGAAGCACGAAAGTTCAGACCAATATATTATCATTCCTTATATTATAGTGAAATAAAATTGTTTTAGATTCAGTAAATATCAAGTATCTCTAAAACCAGTTGTTTTCAGGCCACTAAGTCCAAGGACATTAGGATAATCAGAATTTGAACTCCCATGACCTTTGCCCCCCATGTTACTCCTGTGTTGGTGTTACAGAAGTATGTGGTAGAAGTTGAACTTACTCCTTTACTGACCTTAAAATAGTGAGATTGTCCTCTGTTATCTATTGAGAAGAACGTGGCTTTTAGAAGCAAAGATCTTCCTCCCGTTTATTACAGAACAGCATGTTCGAAAGACTGAGTACTTCATAACACCATCTTCAGTTTGAAGCTGAGCACAGAAAGGAACCAAATTCAGCCACAATTTAACAAATGGGCTTGGAACGAATTTTTCCAAGAGCCTCCAGACAAAATGTCCCTCCCAGCCAACACCTTGACTTCAGGCTTGAGAGAAGAGTAGAAGATGCTGTTGTTAAGCCACACTTCATCTGAATGTCTGACCCACAGAACCATGAGACAATGACTGAATATAAATCTCTTTCATCTGCTATAGTCAGTAGACACCACAGGATAAAATGAAGCATCCAGCCAGCCTATCCAGACAATCCTAGACTGTGTGAATTTCAAGTTCATACTCTTGAAGACAATGTCTGACATTATTAACAACCTCCCCACCAAGCAGATGGGCACACAGCACCATTTTACATCACTACCCATGGGTCTTCCTCTCTACCAATGCCACTGTTCCTTGTTATGTGATCAAGTGCATAGATGAAACTAAGTCTTTTGAGAGTCCCACAGTGTGGCACATTAGAGTCATAGGCTTCAAGTGTCTGGCTATTATAGGAACCCATAACACATTCTTCATGATAATGTGTTGCACAGAAGCCATTGTAGGTAGAAAATCATTCTAAGATTTCTTTTTTTATTAAAAATAGATTTTTAATGCAAGATATTCTGATTACACTTTCCCCTCCTCCAACTCTTCCTAGATCCTCCCCCACTTACCTACCCACCCAAATCCACATATTCTCTCTCTCTCTCTCTCTCTCTCTCTCTCTCTCTCTCTCTCTCTCTCATTGTAACACATACAGACATCTAAAATAATCATAATAATGAATATAATAATAATAAAGTTAGGCAAAATAAAAACAAACCAGAATGTGACAAAACTAGCAAAAAAAAGCAGAAGAAAAAGAGCCAAAGAGAAAGCTCAAGACATATATAAACACACCCATTTGCATACACAGAGATTCCATAAAAACACAAAACCAGAAACCATAATATATAGTCAAAGCAAACAACTGTAAGAAAGCAAAATAAACAAACAAACAAAAAAGTTCTGACAAAGCATTATGAGACAAAGTATCTCCAAAAATGCCAGAATTCATTTGGTCTTGGCCATCTACTGTTGAGCATGGTGCCTGGTCTTGAGGGCATTGTATGCACCCAGTGAGACTCCCTAGAAGAAAAACAAGTTTTTATTTGAGAGAAACTATCAATTGAAAATAGCTTCTGTACCAGCTTGTACTCCCACCAGCAATGGAGGAGTGTTCCCTTTACCCCACATCCTCTCCAACATAAGCTGTCATCACTTGTTTTGATCCCGGCCATTCTTACAGGTGTAAGTTAGAATCTCAGAGTTGTTTTGATTTGCATTTCTCTGATGGCTAACGATGTTGAGCTTTTCTTTAAGTGTCTTTCAGCCACTTTAGATTCATCTGTTGAGAGTTCTTTGCTTAGGTCTGTACCACATTTTTTATTGGATTATTTGTTCTTTTGATGATTAGTTTCTTGAATTCTTTGTATATTTTGGATATCAATCCTCTGTCCAATGTAAAGTTGGTGAAGATCTTTTCCCATTCTGTAGGCTGCCATTCAATATGGCGATTACTCAGAAAATTAGGAAAAAAATCTACCTCAAGATCCAGCAATACCACTTTTGGGTATATACCCAAAGGATGCTCAATCATACCACAAGGACACATGCTTAACTATGTTCATAGCAGCATTATTTGTAATAGTCAGAACCTGAAAACAACCTAACTGCCCCTCAACCGAAAAACTGATCAAGAAAATGTAGAACATTTACACAATGGAATACTACACAGCAGAAAAAAATGACATCTTGAAATTTGTAGGCAAATGAATGGATCTAGAATACATCATATTGAGTGAGGTAACCCAGACCCAGAAAGATAAATATAATATGTACTCACTCATAAGCGGCTTTTAGACATAAAGCAAAGAAAAAACAGCCTACTTCGCAGTCCTAGAGAACATGGATAACAAAAAGGACCCTAAGAGTGGCATACATTGATCTCATCTACATGGGAAGTATGAAAGGCAAGATCTCCTGAGTAAATTGAGAGCATGGGGATCATGGGAGAGGGTAGAAGGGGACAGAGAGGAATGGGGGAGCAGAGAAAAATACGTAGAGCAATAAAAACAATTTAAAAAAAAAGAAAATAGCTTCTCAGTTAAGGGTGTGGGCTTGTGTCCACTTCCACTCTCAATGCTGGAACCCCCTCCGGCTGCACTGGCAGGCCCTGTGCATGCTGCCTCAGTCTCTGTGAGTTCATGTGTACATAAGTTCTGCTGAGCTTAGAGGGATATATTTCCTTGGCATCCTCCAACCTCTCTGGCTCTTATAATCGTTCCACCTCCTTTTCTCCATGGTTTCCTGAGACCTGCGGGGTGGGGTTTTACAGCAACATCCCACTTAGAATGAAATGTTCCAAGGTCTTTCACTCTCTGCCCATTGTACAGCTATGGGTCTCTGTATCTGTTCTCATTCATACAGAAGGAAGCATCTCTGATGATGATCAAGCAAGTCACTGATCAATGAGTATAGCAGAATGCCGTGAGGAGTCATTTTATGGTGACGTTTCTTTATCATATTTGGTTTTTCCATAGGTTCGTGAACTATCTTATCTCAGATTCTTGTCTATCTGAGCAGTGTTGAAGACGTCAACCCAGTCTCAGTATTAAACACTATTGATTCACCCAAGTTGAATAAAACTTTAGCCACAAAGGGAAAAGTGTGGCTTTTCACATGCTGCTGTCCAGGTTCAAATCCCAACTCCATCCTTTACTGGCTGTGCAAATTGAGGTTAGCTATCATACTTGACTCTGTGCTTTTATTTACAAAAGCAAAGGAAGGGTGGTTCTACATCAAAGATAAAATACAAAGAAGGCACTTAGTGTAATTGTGAGCATATAATAAATGCATAGCCATACTGCTTTTTGTTACTTTCTTCTATTGCTCTTTCATCTTCTTTTTATCATTCATATTTAGGAATATTGTGACTTTTGTTCTGTCCTTATCATTTGGCAGGATTACAAACTTGTACAACCAATATAGAAATCAGTATGACAGTTCCCTAGAGATCTGGAAACATCTCTGCCTTAAGATCAAGTTGTATCACTAGGGCATATGCCCAAAGTATGCTTCAACCTACTATAGAGACACCTGTTCAGTCATATTCATTGCTGCTCTATTCATAGTAGCCAAAAATTGGAACCAGCTTAGATGTTCATCAATGAAAGAATGGATAAAGAAGATTTGCACCATGGAATATTACTCAGCCATTTAAAAATAAATAATGAATTGTGAATTAAATGGAGGGAGCTAGAAAAAAAACATACTGAATGACGTAACCCAGATCCAGAAAGACAAAATATATAGTATATATTCACTTCTTTGTGAATGTAAGCAGTTAAGTCTTTGATAAGCAAGTTAAAATCTATATAACCACAGAAGTCATGTATAGAGGTAAGGAAATAGAGGTGAAGGATGGATATTCTTAGGATGAAGAAATAGATAGTAACGGATGGACAAGGGTAGAGGAAAGGAACAGAAAGATCAAACGGGGAGGAGGATAAAGAGGGAGTGAGAGAACGAATGTAGGGAGGGACAGCTAAAGCAAAGGACCATTTGAGGAGTTGGATGGAAAACTAATAGAGTAGAAGCTTCTGAAAATATATACATGTATGAAGGTGATCTGAATGAAGTGGCTAAATAATGTGGAGATGGAGCCCCAACTGGTTCCTTCTTCTCACTAAATGAAGCTTCCAGTGCCAGGAATTTGTTACAGATAACGGAGTTGTTGTATAAGAAGCCCCACAAGAATCCCCAAACAACGCAGGCTATTGTTTTTGTTCTCCACAATCTGATAATAAGGCTCTTGCTGAAGACAACACCTACAATTCAATTCACAATACAATTCACTGAACACAGAGATGCCAAGCTGGCGTCCACCTAAAGCCTTAACCCTTATAGGACTTGAAAGTACTCTGGGTGCTACTTAAAGAAAAAGGTAAGCACCAATCCAGCTATGCAGTCTTTCTCTACAACGATGGCCTATGTGTAAAATGTGGCACTGCAATGGTGGCACAATGCTCGCAGGAGTTGTCAACTGATGTCTGATTAGATTTCAGACATGCTCCAAAAGATGGAAACAATCTCCAACATTTCTATGATAGCCAAGAATCAGACAAGATAGGCCAGGGACTTAGGGAAAAGCCAAATACTGCAGTTCTGCTAAAGGAACATAGCCATAAAATGACTCCTAATGACTTTCTGCTATCGTCATAGATCAATGACTTGCTAAACCATCATCAGAGAAGCTTCCTCCTGCATGGATGAGAACATTCTGTCCCAAGTGGGCTATCTCTATAATCTCTCCCCTCAGATCTCAGGGAACCCTGCAGAACAAGAGGAGGAAAGATTATACGAGCCAGAGGGGATGGAGAACACCAAGCGAACATGGCACTCTGAGCACAGCAGGGCTGCTGCATGTAGGCACTCACAGAGACTGTGGCAGCATGCAGAGGGCCTGCCAAGTCTGGGCCTGAGGGTGTCCCAGCACTGGCAGGGGAAGTAAACCCAAGCCCACATACCTAACCCAGAAGCTATCTCCAACTGATAATCACTTATTGGTTTTTTCCTGTACCCATGAAGATTCTTTTTCATCCCCGTCCCTCAGGCCTAGTAATTTCTCACAAACAGTATCTCTGCGGTGTGTTGAATTTGCTCCTTCCCCATTAAAGATCTCAGTCCATCCCAAACACAGTTGCCATACTACTCAACCAGAAACAGCAAGGTGTTGATTAGAAAAGAATGGTGCTAGCCTTTGCCCAATGCCCTCTCTACAAATTGTGGTTAATTTGAAATATTTGTTTTATATAATTTGCAATTTTCACTATTGAACTAAGATAAATCATAGAAACTGACTATAATTTACTGCTGTTTCTCCATTTTTATTGCTGCATAATTAAAACCTACTGTTGACTAGCACTGTGAAGAAGCATTGGTGTTACTCAGTGTGC